CCTAATCTAACCTAATCTAACCTAACCTAACCTAACACCTAACCTAACTTAAGCTAACCTAACCTAACTTAATCTAACCTAACCTAACCTAACCTAGCCTAATCTAATCTAACCTAACCTAACCTAACCTAACCTAACCTAACTTGAACTTAACCTAACCTAACCTAACCTAACCTAACCTAACCTAACTTAACCTAACCTAACCTAACCTAACCTAACTTAAACTTACCCTAACCTAACCTAACCTAACTTAAACTTACCCTAACCTAACCTAACCTAACCTAATCTAACATAACCTAACCTAACATAACATAACATAATCTAATCTAAAGTGGCCTAGAATAACGACTCTTATTTTCATTTGGTAGAAGCTTAGGTTAGGTAAGGTTAGGTAAGGTTAGGTTAGGTTAGGTTAGGCTAGGTTAGGTTAGGTTAGGTTAGGTTAGGTTAGGTTAGGTTAGGTTAGGTTAGGTTAGGTTAGGTTAGGTTAGGAAAGATTCGTCAGGAAACAGGACAAGTGTTTCCTGACGCAAGGGGTCTTAAATCATATGATGACCCGCCACTGGAGGTTTTGGTCATTTGACCGAGGCCTTCCACTGGCTTACCGGGATGAAGTCAACGAACTACTGTGTATGTGTGTGTGTGGGTAAACTCCCGTCCAGCTTCCTAGACAGGTTGTGGAGGGATGAGTGACGTTATCTTACATTATCTATGCGCGTCCTTAATGCTGTACCAATATTCTGCCTGTGTTGTGATGGCAAGTGACAGGTTTATTTTCCAGCACAGGAAAACAGCAGTTCACCTTTCTGTTAAAACTGGGGATAACCAGTGCTGAGGATCACCAGTGTTGAGGATCACTTGCTTTGAGGATCACCAGCTTTGAGGATCACCTGCTCTGAGAATTACTTGCTTTGAAGATCACCAGCTCTAAGGATCACTTGCTTTGAGGACCACCAGCTTTGAGGATCACCAGCTCTGGGAATTACTTGCTTTGAAGATCACCAGCTCTAAGGATCACTTGCTTTGAGGATCACCAGCTCTGGGAATTACTTGCTTTGAAGATCACCAGCTCTAAGGATCACTTGCTTTGAGGATCACCAGCTCTGGGAATTACTTGCTTTGAAGATCACCAGCTCTAAGGATCACTTGCTTTGAGGATCACCAGCTTTGAGGATCACCAGCTCTGAGAATTACTTGCTTTGAAGATCACCAGCTCTAAGGATCACTTGCTTTGAGGACCACCAGCTTTGAGGATCACCAGCTCTGAGAATTACTTGCTTTGAAGATCACCAGCTCTAAGGATCACTTGCTTTGAGGACCACCAGCTTTGAGGATCACCAGCTCTGAGAATTACTTGCTTTGAAGATCACCAGCTCTAAGGATCACTTGTTTTGAGGACCACCAGCTCTGAGGATCACTTGCTTTGAGGACCACCAGCTTTGAGGACCACCAGCTTTGAGGACCACCAGCTTTGAGGACCACCAGCTTTGAGGACCACCAGCTTTGAGGACCACCAGCTTTGAAGATCACCAGCTCTAAGGATCACTTGCTTTGAGGATCACCAGCTCTGAGGATCACTTGCTTTAAGGATCACCATCTCTGAGGATCACGTTATATTCCCTTGATCAAAACCCCACCACCGGCATCAAGACACGACCCTTGATATGTCCACAATCAACACACACCAGTAGGAACATCAGTCAAAACTATTTTTTCAGAAACCGGCGTACCGAGTCGACAGGTAAATTTGCATAATTTATACATTTATATGATTTGAATAAATTTACTTACCCAGACAAATAATTTGTTCTTACTCCAATAAATTAAAGATTTGTGTCATTCTAGTCGGGGAAGAATTTATTAGTTATAAAATAATTTAGATAAGATGGTAGGTAATTAATTACGATAAGGATATGTATATATATATACCGAGAAGCGTATAATCTCTCAGTATATAATAATAATATATAATAATAATAATAATAATAATTAATAATAATAAATAATAATAATAATAATAATAATAATAATAATAATAATAATAATAATAATAAATATAATAATAATAATAATAATAATAATAATAATAATAATAATAATAAATAATAATAATAATAATAATAATAATAATAATAATAATAATAATAATAATAATAATAATAATAATTATAATAATAATAATAATAATATATAATAATAATAATATAAAAATAATAAAATAATAAAATAATAATAATAATATAATAATAATAATAATAATAATAATAATAATAATCTTTATCTCTACAAGTACATGTACAAGGTATACAGACCATCGCTGACATCACACACTACTATATAGAAAGCAAATTAGGTCAATTTTGTCCCCCAGGATGCCACCCACACCAGCCGACTAACACCCAAGTACCTATTTTACTGCTAGGTGAACGTGGACAGCAGGTGTCTCAAGGAAACACGTCGTAATGGCTCCGCCCGTACCGGGGATCGACCCCGGACTTCAGTGTGTGTGAGCTCGGTGCGCTAACAATAGTTATGGTATATACACACTAAAAGGTATATGTCTCTCGGTATAATTATATACACTGTTAATTTATATTCATCACAGTTTTAGTGATTTAAGTATTGTTGATCTGGTGGTGAACAGGTGACATGCAGCCTTAAACCTTTGGATCAAGAGCCCTTAATCAGCATCAAGAGCCCTTTAACAGCATCAAGAGACCTTAATCAGCATCAAGAGCCCTTTAACAGCATCAAGATATCTTAATCAGCATCAAGAGACCTTTAACAGCATCAAGAGACCTTAATCAGCATCAAGAGCCCTTTAACAGCATCAATATACCTTTAACAACATCAAGATCTCCTTAATAGCATCATCAAGAACCCTTGAACAGCATCAAGATCTCTTTAACAGCATCAAGATCTCTTGAACAGCATCAAGAGCCCTTTAACAGCATCAAGGCACCTCCACTCGAAGGGAATCAGAGACTGAACGAAGGATTTGGGATGACTGGAGTGAAAGTGAATCGAATTGAACGAAGCATTCAGAGAATCGGGATTTGCAATTAAACCAATTAAACACCAGCTGTTTAACAGATTAATAATATAACCCCACCTTTCTTATATCTATAATTTAAAGCTGAAAAAAAAATACATCAAGCTAAATTATAATCACGGAATAATTTTCTGAACCTAAGTTTTATTGTTATTGTCCTTAAATTGTGGGTTATTAAGAGCAAGGAATGGTGAGGATGTACTCTATAACCCATACGGATTTACCGCTTGTTTTTAATATATTAATATCAGGGTAGTGGTCGCAGTTACGTGGTCACTTTTAATGAAGAGGTTTCACCCATGCAGGGGATTAATCAAGTTACTTTTAATGAAGAGGTTTCACCCATGCAGGGGATTAATCAAGTTACTCTTAAAGAGGTTTCACCCATGCAGGGGATTAATCAAGTCACTTTTAATGAAGAGGTTTCACCCATGCAGGGGATTAATCAAGTCACTTTTAATGAAGAGGTTTCACCCATGCAGGGGATTAATCAAGTTACTTTTAATGAAGAGATTTCACCCATGCAGGGGATTAATCAAGTTACTTTTAATGAAGAGGTTTCACCCATGCAGGGGATTAATCAAGTCACTTTTAATGAAGAGGTTTCACCCATGCAGGGGATTAATCAAGTTACTTTTAATGAAGAGGTTTCACCCATGCAGGGGATTAATCAAGTCACTTTTAATGAAGAGGTTTTTCACCCATGCAGGGATTAATCAAGTTACTTTTAATGAAGAGGTTTATCACCCATGCAGAGGATTAATCAAGTCACTTTTAATGAAGAGGTTTCACCCATGCAGGGGATTAATCAAGTTACTTTTAATGAAGAGGTTTCACCCATGCAGGGGATTAATCAAGTCACTTTTAATGAAGAGGTTTCACCCATGCAGGGATTAATCAAGTCACTTTTAATGAAGAGGTTTCACCCATGCAGGGGATTAATCAAGTTACTTTTAATGAAGAGGTTTCACCCATGCAGGGGATTAATCAAGTTACTTTTAATGAAGAGGTTTCACCCATGCAGGGGATTAATCAAGTTACTTTTAATGAAGAGGTTTCACCCATGCAGGGGATTAATCAAATCACTTTTAATGAAGAGGTTTCACCCATGCAGGGGATTAATCAAGTCACTTTTAATGAAGAGGTTTCACCCATGCAGGGGATTAATCAAGTTACTTTTAACGAAGAGGTTTCACTATGCACTCTAAGCGACTTTACTGATATGCATCACCCACAAAGGGATTTTATCAAGTCCAGCATATGTGTATGACCTGATGAAGCCACTTTGTGTTCGAAACATCGTCAATGCAACTTTCGTATGACCACACTTTTGTCTATCTCACTGAACTGCTCTTCAAAAATAGCAAATCCTCGATCTCAGATCGATGTCACCCGCGTGACACGTCAGAACAACATCACCAAAAAAAAAAAAAAAAAAAAAGTAAACTGAAATGCGGAAGACTTCGCTACATGTTTATTAAGTTTAAATCGTTTCGTAAGAAAATTAATATCTGCAGAGTTATCAACAGTGTGTTACATAAAAAAAGAAGAAAGCAACATTTGAAATAGCTCCGTAGTATCCCATCAACACTTTGGTGATCTGTCAGGAGTAGTATCCCTGTCTAGACACATCCATCACTGGAGTGTCTCCCAGTATTCCAGCCTCTATTCAGTGCCTAAAGGGGGAGATTCAATACTCATGAGGGCTCATGCTTTATTGGGTTTGTTTATCCTCTCGCGAGCGGTGGCTTATGAAGGCTCGAGAGACGTGTGTTAGAGAGCCTGTAGACACACACCCGTCAGTCGTGTGCTTTCACAGCCTGTGAACGCACACGTCGCTCCTATTTACACTCTGTGAACACTATTTCGATTGTGTTCACGGCCTGTCCGTCTGTCCCGCACGTTAATTCACGCAATTTTGTATCGTACATATTGTTTGAAGACGTAC